GTGTGTGTGTGTGTGTGTGTGTGTGTGTGTGTGTGTGTGTATGTGTGTGTGTGTGTGTGAGTGTGCATGATGGAGGAAAACTAGGGGCTATTTACTAATCAAGCACTGCCCTATTTTGATGACTGGTTGACTGCACTGGCATGCTGCTGGAACACCCTTCTTATCTATCAGGTTAGCATTTGCATAGAATCTCAGTCAACCAACAAGTGAGAGAAAAAGCCGGATCTCCCTTCCTCTGGTCCCCTGCCTCTACATGGTTGTGGAAGCCAAGCCAGCCTTTGAGATAGTCCTGTTATAACGTGAAGAAGGCAGAGAAGACACACGGGTAGCCTGTCCTGGGAGACCCGATGAGCAGCTTGAAGTGTCCGGCGGATGAGATGGGCAGTCCCATGCAGTCTCCTTCTCTCCAGAAGGAGCCCCTCCAACTTCCCACCCACTCTATCCCATTACCTCATAGTCTGGGTTGGGAACAGGTGGTGGCCGCTCCTTGTTTTGCCCTGCAGAGGCGGGAGGGGGAAAACATCGTTTCCAAGCTGAACACCAGTCCTGCAGTAAAGATGGCTGCCAGGGGAGCCACCCTAAGGGAGGGCAATCCTCTCTGTCCTTTCTTCTAATCTCCCTTTCCCATCCAGCAACCCTTCTTTTTTTTTTTTTCTTTCCTTCACCCCATCCCTAAGGCCTCCACACGGGTCTCTTCATTTGTGACTTTGCTCTCGCTCAGGTCCTCCCATTCTTTCTGCAGGAGGAAGGGAGAAGAAGAGGTGGGGACTAACATCCTGAGATCTCTCTGCCCACAGTTTGGAGGTCGAATCTGCTTCCTGCAGAGTACTGCTGGGCATCTGAGGAAGCCCACCGCAGTGGTTGGTCAGCGTTGGTTTTTAGAGTTTTTTTTTTTTTTTAGGGTGGAAGGGAGTAATGATCTTGAATCGGGAGCCCTCTGAAGGGACCTTGGTATCACAGAGAATGTGCTAGAGAAGCTGTTTGGAATCTGCTGTAGACTTGGCCATCCTGGTTCCAGGCCCAATCTCCCCTGACCCAGCTCTATGGCTTTACCTCGGGGCCTGCCCGCAGCACCAGTTCCTCGGGTCACGGGCTTGGCCTTGGCCTTCCTATTCTTGCTCCAGTAATAAACCACCATCAGCAAGCCCAGGGTGATGCAGACGTCAATGACGATGATGATGGCCACTGCTGTCAGGTCCACCTCCATGCAGTTCTCACACACTGCAGGAGGCAGGGGTGGGGGAGAGAGAGACGTGACCCCAAAAGGAAAACAGCTGGCCTTGGGAGAAGAGGAAGAAACAAAGGAAGAAGACAAGTCTTCCTTTAACACCTGCATGCCTGCCGGCATCAGAGTCCTGGCGGCAAAAGTGTCCAGTGAGAACGACAGGCAACATGGCTGATCACAGTCAGCGGCTCTGGAGACAAACAGTCTCAGCTCCATCACTCACCAGTTGTGGGGATTTTTAGCCCACTTTGTTTTCTCATCAACTAAATGGGAATTAAAAAATGTGCTTAACCTATATGGCTGATGTGGGGATAGCAGGAAAGAATCCCATGGTATGGACCTTGGGGGCAGAGTTCAGTGGTATAGAGCTTGCCTAGTGTGCCCCTGGCCCTTGGATAATTGAGGCACGTGTTGGGATTAGAAATACACTACTTAGCTGGGTAGTGATAGCACCTGCCTTTAATCTCAGCACCCGGGAGGCAGAGGCAGGTCGATCTCTGTGAGTACAAGGCTAGCCTGGTCTACAGAGTGAGTTCCAGGACAGCCAGGGCAACACAGAGAAACCCTGTCTCAGAAAAACAAAAACAAACAAGTATAAACAACAACAACAAAACCAAAACAATGAACAACAACCCCCCCACCCCCACCCCAGACCAAAAACAGTACTAGATAAATGCAGCTCTTATTATTTTCTATTGTGGTGCCTTGGTTTAGGACTTTTAGGTAGTGGCATTGAGTCTCTTTGCAAGTCCTCCTAATGAAATGTGTCTCTGGTGCTGGTGAACCTTGATTCTGAGTATGTTACAAGGCAAGTGACCCAAGCCTGCCTCTGAGGGAACTTGCTATTTTATACCTGGTACGAATTGAAGTTACCCAGACAATCCCAGGCCACTGTTTAATCTGTTTTTCAGAAAATACTGATACTGTGTGGCCCCCGGGAGCCAGGGACGGAGGGCAGGAGGAGATTTAGGATGACAGGGACTGTGGCAGGCTTGGGGGGTTCTTGAGAAAGCTGTTTGGAGAGGAGCCCGAGTTACCTCTTGCTTTCAGGTAGAGGTAAGCGTTTGATGAGGTTTCTGCTTGGCAGGCATAGTAGTCACTGTCCTGGACTTCCGAAAAGTCCTCCAGCACCAGAAGCTTATTATTCTCATTAGGTATTGTTTTATCATTTTTCTTCCAAGTAACGACTTCATTCTCTAGAGGGCATGTCAGTTCTACCCTGGTTCCTGAGATGGAGACTTTATAATCTGTGGAAAAGGGGAAAAGGGAAGGAGGTTGGAAGGGAAATACAAGGTAATTTCACAAATGGCAAGTTGGCACTGTAAGAGGCAGCCAGGTACAGGAGATTTTTATCACTGGGGTTGAGGTTTGCTTGGCAGAGGGAGGTATCCTGACTAGATAAATTGGGAGAGGGTGTGTGTGTGTGTGTGTGTGTGTGTGTGTGTGTGTGTGTGTGTGTGTGTGTGTGTGTAGATGGAGGGGCAGAGAACCCTCTGGAAGGTGGCTTCAGAGTGGAGGCAGTCACATGGGAG